TGAAACATATAGATTTTTAGTAGCTTTCAGAAGGTCATATGTAAGACAAAAATCAACCAAAAATTTTCATATGTTTATCTTTTATGTTTATCCCCCTCATTTCCTTAAATTTTAGTCATTAAATTCATTTGTTTGTTGCAGTAAGCAGCATAACTATTAGGATTGTTTCTTTTTTGTTCAGGTTTGTTTTCCAGCTAATCAAAATTTCACTGAGTTTCAGTGCTGCGCAAGCGTCAATAGCGCTCATTCAATAAAACTGGATGAAAACAACTACAGCAAATGATCAAGTTCAAGATTTCTAACTGGATTATTGTTGAAAAAAATTTATCAACAAAAACACAAAAAAATGTTCGAAACAAGTTGCACCAAAAACAAATGGAAATAAATTTTAAAAAAATGGTGGAAAAACAATTATTTTTTGTCTTTTTTGTTTTTTGTCTGAACTTAACCAAAATTCAAGGAAACAATTTTGAAAATTTTCGTTTGAATCATTTCACCCGGTTACTCTGAATCAGCAAACTAGAAATTTGCACGACAAAAAGTGCAGTGAAAATTCAATGAACAGCGAAAAATTAAGTAAGCAAAACCATTGCAACCTAATAAATAGTTTTTTTTTTAGATTTTGGAAAAAAGTTCTGCTGCCCATTGCAAAAACAAAACGGCTTGAATAAATTAAGTAGAAGAAGAAATTGTTTTTTAAAAAAGACTATGAAAAGAACCTCTAGTGCTCGTATTGCTATCAAAATAACTATCTTGTGAAAGTTGTTACTTATTTCAGCAAAACTAAAGCATTATTTTTTCGTCATTAGAAAACAAAGTCTATAAGTCTATTAAACTAATAATTAGCATCCATTGAGACATTTTCTACACTAGCTAAATTGTTGTCTTTCCTATCTGCCCAGGCAAAATTTATAGTTAGATCAGTCTACACAGACCCTCCATTAGTTACCAGTTGTGTTGAAAAAAAAGATGCGGTTTTCAATTTTTTTTCTGAGGGCAGACTAAATTCATAAAGTGTCTTGATGAAAAATAAATAAATACAGAACATGAACTGGGATAATCGACAGATATAAACGGAAAAAATAAAACTTATAACATAGTTTTGCAGATTTATTATAATTTTGCTAAGATTAATTCTCACCTAAGATTGGAAATAGACAATCAACCGGAACGGGATAGATATTGATTCTAAACATTTTGAGATTTTGTAATAGTCTTGCTTAGAGTATACACAAAGTCGTAGCGATACAATGGAAACTTATACTTGTGAAAATACGTGTTAATTTCTATTACAAAGCAAAAACTATTTCCTGTCATTATTAGTTCATGCTGCCTTGTAGTTAATGATTGTTCATTCGGTAAAATTGTTTTATGGTATAACGAATGGCTTTGTGAGACTAAGTATGAAAATTAATCTTGTTGTTCCGACTTTCGATACTAAAGTAACGGAATATTTGTGCTCGGGGTTGTTTTTTTTTCTTCAGACAAATTTCGACTTTTTAACTAGCTTTTTTTGACGGAATTTTCTTATATCATTCAAAAGGTATTGTTGTCTTGAGCTTAAAATTGAAAAGATATTTTTACCTGTGATCGTTTTTTGTAAAATTATGGGGGTTTAAAGATTGCCATTTTGGCCAATTTGGAACAATTAACGCGCGATATATTTCGCGCTATTAACGCGTAAGCGGAGAGTTAATCCGTCTTAGAAATTGTTCGAAATTGGTTGAAAGAAGCTTATTTGCCATAATTGATTTGTTACAAGGAGCTAAATTTATCCTTTTGTTCTTTATATGGCGTGTGGGGGGATGATTTTTGTGTAAAATTCAGATTTTAAAAAAATTTCTTTTTATTTTAATACATTTATTTTTTTAACGTTACTACTGCTCCATAAGCCTTAAAAGGCGGTCGGAACATTCAGGGCTTTGCCCTGATACGAGCAGTCTTGTTTTTTTTTCTAGCTAGTCAGATTTTCAATTTTTGTAGCAATCTTTCACTGTGAACAATCAAATAACATGTACTGTTTTGCAGCTGGAGAATGAAGAAATTGGCCGACTTTTCATTAATTATTAAATTCGCCCTATTATTCAAACACTCAGAAAGATTTTTGGATCAGTAACTTAAACTAGAAGCTAGATAGTTCTCGCTAGAAATAAAGAAAATATTCGGTGCCGAACAATTATATTATAGGCTCTTGTTTGAAAAACAAACTTTATATTGAATCCAAATCAGTCAATAATAGGTTGCTAGGAATAACTGTACGTTAGGTCACTTGGGGGTGGGGGATATGCTAGGTTACCAAGTAATGCTCGCTAGAAGTACAAAAAAAATTTGTGCGCAAAACATTTTATCTGCGCGCTGGTTTTGAAACATTTTTTTACGTAATCCATTTTGAAAATAATACATCGCTAGGCGGAAACTGTACATTGGCTCACTTGGGACGGAAAAAAGATTGTACGTTAGCTTACTAATTTTTGCTCGATAGAAAACAATTTTTTTTTCGGTACAGAAACCAATACACAATTTTCGACAACCAATTTTTATACTGAATTCAATTTTGAAATTAATAGCAGCAGGGTGGGAAACTGCACGTAAGGTCACCTCTATTTCTCTACTAACTATGAAATGAGGTGTATTATTTTTTTGCTAGCCATGGGTTAGAAGCGGATTATGAGTTTTCTGTAAAAATAGGTTTACAGCTTCGGTAATTTTATTTTGTGTAGGTATTAACAAAAGCAAATGTAAAGAAAATTTCAACCTTAATTTACGTTGATTGTTTATGTTGATTGTTTTGACTTCACCGTAAGGTCAAAAAACAGAAAAATTGCACCCTACAGTTTTCTTATTTTTCAATTTTACCTTGACTGTTTTGGCATTTAAAACCTGTCCTTGTAACTTATCCCCGCACTCAGTATAAGGAGTTGATGATCAAATTATGCTATTATTATGGTCATTCTCTATTTCCAATCATCGATTATTAATTACTATAATTGCTACAAATAATTTCAAAATTAACGTTCAATTTTTTTATTGATTCAGGATTGGTTCATTATCTATCTTTTGCATCTAAGATGCTCGTAGCTTATGCTTTTTTATTTTTCAAATTTTTGTGCATTTAAAAAACCATTTAGCAAATTTCAACTAAATTTTTATCAGTTTTTGCTTGGATTATGTTTCAGCATGATCCCTTTTTTGTTTGATGAAGATAAAAATATGAGTAAATTCTTTTAAGCTAATGATTTCATAATTTCAAGGAACATCTATGGAGTTTTTGTTAAATTTTTGTTTTCAGATTAACCAAAGGGCACAGCACATTTCATATTTAGAGACCTACTTATTTACGGCAAATTATCAATCCATTTAAAAAAACGGTAACATTTTGTGTAAATTTGTGATAAGATTGAGATAAGATTGTGATGAGAAATTTGATTGAAATCTATTTTAAACTTTTACAATATTTTGAGAAAATGGATTTTCAATGAGTTGATTATCTTGAAATGTTACCTATTATTGTATTTTAATCTATGTTTTTCTCTTTTCCGGTGGTTCCTTTCTCCGATAAGAAAATTAGTGTTTTCAGTATAAAATGTATATCCTATATCCTTGTTAATATTTTTCTTTTTTTTAATTCAATTTCTTTCAACTTTCAAAACTAGTTCTTAAATAAAAAACTAGTTTAGATAAATTGAAGAAACCATTGGGATACAAGCAATTTAGCTTGAGATAAATTCAGTTCTACAAGAAAAGAAAATTTGATGGAAGTAAGAGAAACTGAGTAACAAAATTTGTTGAAGCGAAACAATCGAAAAAAATATGCTAGGAGAAAAATTAACGGCAATGTTTTAGACCCTTGAGAAATTTTGTAGGCAAAAATTTGAACAAAATTGAAAATTGTTTCTGACATATTGCTTTTAAATCGCAGTAAAAGCATTCAAGAATGTCACTCAATTCATGTTGTCTTAAAAAAGAAAAAATTTTGAACAAATTTAATGAGGCTTAATTTAATAAATCTTCAACAATCTAATTGAATGATTCCACTCCAATTTTACGAGTCGTTTTATAAAATTACATCTGAGTTTTGCATTTTTTAAAATTTCAAAAAATATTAAATCACCAAAGAAAAAATAAAAAAAGTTTGAACAATTGGTTTTCTTTTAATTTTTCTGAATTTTGGTTATTTGAATTCTATCTCATTGTGGACGGAACATTTGGTGCTACTTGCACAAAAGTTAGCTTTTCTTGTTATATTAGTGAAGTTTTTTCAAATGTGATGTTTTGATTTGCTTGATTATAAAATTTGGATTGAAGTTCTTCATTATTAGTTTAAACTAAACTTGTTCAAAGAAATTTGACAGAAATTTGACAATTATTTACAGTTAGATTGTTCATTTATAATTTTTGGACTGCGTTGTTTTTTTTTCAAAGCTTCTGAAGAACTATTTCAAATTTAACTAGTTCGTCATTTAAAGGTAACTGCGATTGGCTGACAGAAATAAGACGTTTACCATTTTTAGAAAAGCTACATTTTTACCACATTTTAAAATCGTGTCTCGCGGATTTTGAAATAATACCTGAGCTCTATGTCTGGCGAATAAAACGACAGTTGCATAAGACGAAAACCGTTTTTAAGGGACTTTTAGACAATGCTGGGCACAATTCTCCAATTGTATCCAACATAAACTGCTTAGTTCCGAACAGTTCAATTTAAATGTGTTGAAGCTCATTTGGGACCAAGAGAGCTATCTCCCCCTAAATCAAAACAGGGGGGAGGTCGTTTAGATGGGGCAATATTTGTCGTCTTAGTGCTCTGTCGTCTTTAAAATCCTTACGTTCTATTTACCTAACACCCTTCTGCGTCTTGTTTAATTTGCCAAAATACAGTTTCCTGATTGGTTCTTTTTTTTTGGTTGACATTTTGCTGATTAGTTTGATGAAAAGGAAGAACTAAATTGGCGCCGACATAAATATAATCATTTTAGCAACCGCTATTGAAGCTTCAAAAAGAGCTGACGATAATTTTCGATTAATTTTCAGCAAGGAAATTTAGTTTTCTTGTCGTCTTGTTCTTATCACTAATTTTATGTCATGAAAATTATAAATTTTGTCGCTGATTATCTTTCTTTTATAAGAAAATGAAAATAGCTTCCTATAACCATTTTTGCTCGCTTTATTTCCCGGGGTAAAATTATTTTTATTAATTTCTACAATTGCTTTGACTGAAAAAAAAGGAACATATTGTTTTTTACTGTTCGTTGCGTATTTAAGCTTCTTATTTTTGTGTTCGGAAAAAAAATCGATTTTTCAAACCTTATCGAAGACAAAATCATCCCTTTAGGGACTTTGTGTGTAATTTGATCTTCATAAGTTCTGAACACAGCATGAACGCAATTTGGCTCAACGGTTCCTTACTTTTAACCCTCACTTAAAGGTCCTAAATTGAATTTCCTTTTTCTTAGTTTCTTATTTTTCTTTTTTTACTCTTGAAGAAATTGTTCAATTTTCGACAACCAGAGCTACGTTTATCTCCTAGCGATAATATCTTACATATTGCTCATCCTCGCTTATATATGATAAATTTTCAGGTTATAACTTTTTCATATGAGCAATATTACGCCTACTTAAACCGAAAAAAAATAGCCGACTTTTTTTGTCATATTTGCTTTTTTTACAAGGCCCATTGGGTATAACATATATAGTATCGTTTGACAGTGTTTATTGCAGCATCAAAACACATTTTTCAGCATATGCGAAATTGAAGCGAAACGCCAAATTTAATTTAAATTGATCGAAAATTTGGTTCAAATTACATTGTTTTACCTGTTATCTAAAAAAAACCCTTTTGCCCCCTGAAAACTACCATTGGGCTAGCTTTAGTTTACCTGTGTGTTTAGTTATTTACCTTCAATACAATTATTGCAAGTAATCAGAATTGAATGAAAAAATAGGAGGTTCTCAGTATGTTTGTTTTACCGTCCCTTCATAAATCAACAAAATCCTTTTTGCTAGTTCAAATTGCCTCCAAGTAACGTCAATAATTTCTTTTAATTTGTCCTCCTTATCGACAGGTTCAGATAAAGTTCAACCATCAAACACCATTTCCGTTTTTTTTATTTGTTTCATTTCTAAAAAAACTAACGATAGCAGCACACTCTTTGGCCGGTTTAACATTTTTGTCACTGGAATCAATTAGTTTTTTTCTTACTGAAATTTCGATTCGATATGTTATTCCTTCTTTTCGTATTTTCTTCCAATTATTTAACTTCCATCTTTCATTTGGCTCGTCTTGAGTTTTAATTTGGGCTCTAGCGACGGGCAACTCAAATTTCAAACCCTCATTTCTAGCTGGGTTAATTAACTAGTTAAATATGACCTGAAATCTGAGTTTACCTGAAAAAGCGAAAAGTCACGGTTTTCATTCTTCATTTCACAAAAGTACTCGTCGGCCCATAATTGAAGCGAAGCATATTCACCTGAAATTTTCCCAAAGCACCCGGAAGAAAACAGAAAAACTACGAACTCAAAACGCATTCAATTCCTTCGTCATTGTTTTATTTTCATTATTTTGCTGGAAAGTCATAATTGAAAAAATTTCAGCTAACGTCACTTTTTTCCATTTTGAAATTGAAATAGTTATAATTTTGTGTTCTGAGCTATTTTCGTAATTGTCGTTCAAACAAATTATCAAAAAAAAGTTGAATTTGTTTTACCATTTTATTAACTCAAAATGGATTTTGCTAATCAATCGAGTGTTAACGAAACTAATCTTGAAGTTCTAGAATCTTCAATTCCCATTTGGTTCGTTTTGGGAAAAATCCTTCTTAACATTATTGGTATGCTTGGAAACTCGACGGTTGTTTTTATTTACCTGAAGAAGAAAGATTTCAGACCGAGCGAGTGTTTCATTTTATCGATAGCCGTGATCGATTTCTGTTTTTCATTCATAAGTCTACTGTTATGGCTAGTTGAGGTCGCTTTTCACGTGATAAGCGGCACTTTAAACAGTTCCCTTTACACATTTGTAACTTTTTATTCTTTATATTTGGTTTTTTGGATGAGTTTCAACCGCTATGTTGCAGTTGCCCGACCTCTGGACTATATGTCCAGGTTCACAGCGCCAAAGGTTTATTCGATTTTAGGCGGGGGTTTCATTTTTGCCCTCATTTACGGCTTAACCCCGGTATGGTATTTCAATACAAGCAGCCCGACAACAATGCGAATTGTCGATGGATTCTACTATGCTTGTAAAGTTCTTTTTATGAGTATCGACATTGTGTTTATGTGTGTTGTTTACACCAACGTAACCTATTTGGAGAAAAAACGTGCTGAAAAAGTCAACAAAAATAACTTCGACAAGCAAAAAAAGAGCTCCAATAATTCAAATCCGAAAAGCAGTTTGAAGCGAAAAAGCGATCAGCGAAACCAATGCAGCACCAGCTATGGATTCCAGGAATCAGTCGCAAACGAAAATGATACCAAAAAAGGAGCATTTCGGTTTCTTTTTGGATTGAACTGTTTCTTTTCAAGTTGTGAAAATTGCAAAAATTGTTGTAAGGACGAAAATCAAAAACTTCAGTTATGGGATAAAAACGAAAATGAAGACTTTGAAGGTGAAAATTGCAACGATGAAAATGATAAACTTTCTTCATCTCTAAGTTCACCATCAGCTGCTAATGTGAAAGGTCATTCGAGTTCAAAAACTGACAACAAAAAAGTCGGAGCCACAAGCGAGATTTCAAAACAAAATCATCATAAAAGCGAAAAGAAACAAACGAAAAAGCAAGCAAAACAACGTAAAAAACAACATGAAAAACAAAATGAAAAACAAAACGAGAAACATCAAGGAAAACAAACCGACAAAAACGAGACAGAAAACGATCCGGGCAAACTTTCTCCGAGTTGTAATGGGCATTTGCATACGAAGGTTATCAAAATAAGGGAGACGCTTCCAGATAGTGAAAAACTGAGAGGGAATTCCGAAGGTAATTTGATGAATTTAAAGCAGACAAGCTAGAAACATCTGAACACTTTTTGTTTTTTTTTTATCAAAAAGGCTTAATGATTATGCATCTCAATTAGAATCAGAATACAATGATTTGGTTTTAAGGCTGATTAAACTATTTCGTTTGATTATTTAGCAATTCCAAATACCAAGAAAAACAGAAGGAAAAATTCCGAGCAAAAAACCTTTTGATCAATTTGTATTTTTAAAAAACATATAAATAAGTGAGCATAGTTGGTAGCAAAAACGTCCCCGTGAAAAAATTAAATTGCATGAAAACTTTAACGGGGACACATTTTCAAAAATGGGTCATAATTGAAGACCTTAAGCGTTTCGAAACAAGAGAAAAACCGAACAGGATATAGCCCAAAAATGTTCGAATGAAAGTGCTTTGTAGAATAATGTTCGTATATTTATAAAATCGTTTTCAAAATGTTTGCTTTAATTTAGCCGAGGAACTTTTGACCTCAAAACGAAAAACTGTTTTGTAAAATAATCATATAATCAGAAAATCGTTTTCAAAATGTTTGCTTTAAATTAGCCGAGGAACTTTTGACCTCAAACAAAAAATTTTGTAGAATAATTTTCAGATAATCATAGAATCGTTTCTAAAATGTCTGCTTTAAATTAACAGAGGAGCTTTTGACATCAAAACAACCCGAGTTGAAATCTTCCGTTCCGAGCAAAAAGGGCTTGGAAATCGTGGAAAATGAAGACGACAAAGACATACAAATTGGCGTGAGCAATGTTCAGATTGAAGTCAACGATTGCAACGGAAATTCAATCCCGATTCGCACACTGCAAAACGGGTCAGTTTTAGTTGAAAAAAATCAATAATTGTGACATTTCTATTGTATTTCACTGATTTGACACACTGTAACATGCCTTATAAGATTTGCTCATGCAACTGATAACTTAAAGAAGACAAAATCTAAAAAATTGCAAACTTTTTCAACAACTCCGAATGATTTTTCATTTCTAGATGATTCTTTTTTGAATAAAACTATTTAGATTTTTGTTGCTGTTGATTCGACCAAATTAAGAAAAATTTTTTAAAAAATCATCCAAATTACGAAATGGATTTATGAAGAACAAGCCAAACTTACAAGTGAACTTTTTAAGTTACTTAAAAAAAATTAAACAGAATCTTTCGACCGCTTACGGCTCATCGTTCTTTTTGTGCTTTTTCCTGGCTTCACATAAAATAAAAATGAGCCCCGTTATTGATAATTGTACATTTACCCATATTTTGAGTAGTTGTTCTTCTTGATACAAAGCAATTGAAAAACGTAATTGAAATGAAGTTTCAATCGTTTTGAATCAAAATACACTTGAAGGAGCTGTGATTTTTCAGTATAGAAATTTAATGCAATTTTTGACCGCATAAGGGTCAGACTAGAGATTTTTACATCAAATTTCCAGATTTGCTAGCCCCGTATCACTGAGATGCAGTAGTTCTTAATAAAAAGGAAACATTTCAAGGATTTTAATTAACTGATAAAAATTCAATTTAAAAATGCATAACAAGGGAATATAATGCAAACTTATCATATAACTACACCTAGAGGCAGGCGCAGACCGTGGTTTTTCGCTAAGGGAAGGATTTTGAAAATCAATTTGCTGATCTTTATTTAAATTGACCGAACATAAATTCTTATCTCTCCTGAAAACTAATAAAAATGCTGCTTTGCAAAAACAAATTAACAAAAAACATACCAATTATGATTTTCAAAGCTTTTTTTTAAACAAATCTTAGACCTTAGAATAAAAAAACTTTATCGTTTCCCGAATTTTCTCATCACATTTAATGTTTTTTTGAATCCAGAGGCTTCATAAAAAGTAAAACGTTCAAAAAAGATAACTTAATCCCCCTGAAACCGGCTTTTGAAATTCACAATAGTTTTTCTAATTTCAACAGAAGAAAAGTAATTTGGGTTTCAACCTTTGTTTTATGCTTAGACATAATATTAAGTTGCCTATTTTTGATCTGCATGATAAAAAACTTTCTGATTCTTTAACACTTTTCGTTGCATATAAGATTATGTCCACTTCTTTTGCTGTTAGCACTGGTTTTGAAATTAGCTACAAAATTTTTCCTCTAAACATTTTTGCCGACAAAACCCGCACGTGATGAGTTACGTGCTACATAAAAGTTCAGCTGCAAGGGTGGCTTTTGCACATTTAGAACAGAGATAGCGTACATACTTGAGACGACAAAAGTGCTATATTCAATTCCTGTCCAAACTTTTTTTCAATTTGAATTTTTCCTTGGAAAATTTTGAAGCTTAATTTTTTTTGGCTTCTCCAAAAAAATTTTTCCCTAGTCTAAACAGTAGTATAGTAAAAGTGGCTAGGAAAATGACCACTTTTAACCCCCCCCCTTTTTTTCGATGTGCCGTTGTACTTACCACTTTTAACCCCCAAAGGGGTTAAAGCCCCTACTTTTTCGGGCACGCATGTTTTAAGGGGGGTTAAAATTGGTAATTTTCCAGCCACTTTATGGAAACGGGAAGGAATTAAGTTTTGGTTGGTGCATGTTTTCCCTTCTAAAGTTTGGGGGTATTGGCTTGTTTACATGTAAAATGACGTTATATACAACCAAACTATATGGTATATAGGAAAGCCAAGATTTTGGCAGCGTAGCTTAACTGTTGGCTGCGGTGATCGATTTTCTTTCGAAAATGCATGTTTTATTGCTGAATCTCGAAGAAAGGAAAATTCGTCAAGTGCGGCGGCCGCCACCTCTATTTAGGCAAAAATTAATAATCTATTTGAACAAAATAAGAATCACTTACCCGAAAGTTGATGATGACACAGTTGATGAATGATTGTAAAAAGAAAATAAGAAATGGGGGATAATGAGGAAGGGGACTAAAAAAATAAAATTTGGTAAAAAAAAAAAAAAAAACCTCTTCTTTATTGGAAGAGGTATGAATAAATGGAAACGGCTGGGCTGTCCATCAGCACCAGCAGGTCAGAAGCCCTGTAGGCAATCCAACCCCCGAGGGCGACCACGTCCCTGAGTTGCTCAGAGAGGAGTTCCCACTCGGGCGACCCAGGGAGGTAAGTCCGGGGAAGGGGTTTCCCCTTGGCCCACTGGCGTGGCTTGACCCAGAGCTCCTTCACCACTAATGCCTCAGGATCGAGCCCAGCCATATATCTAACGTGGATTTCCTCCACAGGAATATTGATAAGCTCTAACCCCCCGAAAGGAATTTTAACTGTTTCCAGGTATGAAGGCATCTAAAACAAGCAAATTAACATTTTAAATCACATGAAATTGTTCATCAAATAAAATTTTTTGGAACAGTAGGTTTTGGAAGGTAATAATTGTGCTAAACTTTCTCTAAATTTTCCCCGAGTTTAAAATACGCTTATCACGAAAACACAGACAGAATAAATTGTACTTTTAGCTGCGTGTTATTTTCAACCAGTTTAGAAATTTTGAGTTTGATTTGGAAACAAAAACTGGTAAAAACATTTGATTTGTCGAATACTACTTTTGAAAATGAATAGATTTGACTTCTTGTTTGACTTTGTCACTAAGCTGATTGTAAGAAAAAATAAAGCGCAGACTGAAAATATATGTTTACTAAAATGTTAAAAATATATCAAAAAGGCTGATGGACTAATTCAATGTATATCACCGAGTTGTAGATATCAGCTGTTGGCATCTAAACGGTTACTTTTATTTCCACTGTTTTGAAATTCAGCAGGCTCAAAGAGTGTTGGAAAAAAATGAAATTGGAAAAACGTAGAGTTACCTCAACAGACTTGGAAATCATTCATGAGATTTATTTGACTGTGAAAAAAACCTATCCGGAAAATTCTGACCGTCGGAATTACTTTCTGGCTGCATGTTCTCTGTTTTTCTTTTCCAGTGAAAACGAATTAAATTATGACGTAGCTATTAAACTTAGACCATATGGAGGTCTTATTGGCATAGACGACTCTTCCTTGGACAAATATTTAAAAGATTCAAAAATACTACGTCTGCATGCAATTTTGCATGACGCTGCAGGTTTTGTTGACGAAGTTTACAACACGGGTCCCACTTACTGCTATATGTTACCCTGGAAGTGTAACAGCAGTCTGATTGGTCATTTGAGCGGTATTACTTTCTGTTTATTCGTCAAACTAACCAGACCAGAACTCTATCAGTTATTAGAATGTTGAGCGAACGATCAGTCGTCATAGATTTGGAAGGATTTCGCTATAAAAAAAGTAACTTTATAGTTAAAGAAATAGCCATTACGACTTCTGAATATAGTGACTCTCTTATTTTTCTACCTCCAGTCCCTTTCAACTCACTACCCAAAGCTGAACAAAAAGCGTACAACTGGTTAACACAATACTTGCACGGAATTCACTGGGAAAGCGGAGATTATTTATATTTAAACCTTAATCAGATTATTCAAAGTTTTGTTTTGAGAAATCCTAACGCTGTATTTTACGCCAAAGGAAAAGAGAAGGCTGAACTCCTTGCAAAGTACTTGGATCGAGAAGTTGTGAATCTTGATGAATTGGGTTGCCCGAGAATTGAAAACTTACATTTAAAGAATTATCCATCCTGCAATAGACATTTACAACCTAATTATAACTCTAGGAATCACTGTTCCCTGAAAAAAACGAAGGTTTTTTTTGATTGGCTGACAAATGAGCAACAACGAAAGACTAGCAAAAGCGGAGACGTACCTATCTCCAAATTTAGTGTTCTTGGCTTGGATGACACCAGAGAGTGATATCAAAGTAACTTTGACCAGAACAGAACAAATCAATTGCCGAGGTCAAGTTGTGCAGCGGAAAGGACAAATTACTCTCTCAGGAGACGAATTGACTATTTTAAGAAATTTTTTCCCAGTGATTGACCAATTCATCTATTTTCAACGACACAAGTTTAGTCAAAATGTTGGCCAACAAACGAGGAGTATGTCTTCCCAGGCTAGTCTTAGTGCCCAAACGTCAACCCGGAGTTCAAATGGATCTTCAAAGCAGTGACCTACCTGAGGAAGTTCAGAAACTAGTAAAAGAGAACTCTGTAAAGAAAGTTGTATTTCATGCAAAAACTGAATATGTGCCAGCCAATTATGTTGTGGAAATGCTGCATGACAATGACAATGACATAACTAATGACTCTAGAAGTTATACTCGATACGAGATTTTTTATTGTTCTGAAATATAGATAATACATATTTTATGACAAGAACACATTTTTTTCATTCTCATTAAGAAACTAGTGTTATAGATAGAGAGGAGTTAGAAAGAATCAGTTAGAGAGAGAAATATAAATCGAACAACTGAATGACTGAATTAGCTATTGATGAGCCTGATGCTACTATAGTTACAGATTTTGCTTATGATCAAACAAACACTGAACAAAAATCTTGGAAGTTTTGTAATGATGTTACAGTCCCCAGATCAGAAGTAGTTTTTATGTCTCAAATGATTTTAATTTTCATTTTACTTACTTTTTGCATCTATAAACTTTCTTGGACGCAAATAAGCTGTGAAGAAACGTCAGTTTGGTTTTCAATATTGTCTGGTTTAGTTGGGTACGTGCTACCAAACCCAAGGATATGAATAAAATTATTGATACGTCGACAAGACTGTTTATGGCAGTTGTAGGACCGTCAGGATCCGGAAAAACAGAGTTGATTTTCAAGCTATTGACAGGAAGATCATTTTATCCCAAATTTGAAAGAGTGTTATTTTTTTACAAAGATATTCAACCTGTAGTTATGGACGAGTTAAACGCTCGCAGAATTCATATAGAATTTGTAAAATTTGACGGATTCGATCGTTTGAGAAACATTGAAAACATTCTGTTAGTGTTTGATGACTCATGCGAAGAAATATACAATGATAAAGAATTCGTTAAATTAGCAACAGCAGGAAGACACAGGGGCTTAGATGTTATTTATGTCAAACATAATTTATTCCAACAAAGCCGATGGTCCCGAACTATTGATTTGAACACATCTCACAT